AACTTTTTGGACAAAATGTTTTGCCAAACTTTGAATTGTTTATTCTTGTACACAGAGTAGAGCTATATTTATAGTTTACTGAAAGTTATATATACATACATTATTGCTTCATCTGGTTTCAAATTTTGATTATATCACCAATAGTATGTATTCATTCATTTTCTATTCTCAGTTTATGATATCTACTGTATGTCATAATAACTGATCAAAATAAACTGTACAAAATAAACTAAATTCAATCAGTCTAACAACTGTGAAATCTAATTAGTTTGTTGTATTAAAGGAAAAGAAATGATCTTATTAATCTTACAGTGCTCAATTCAATTACAGCAGCGAACACTAACATCTCCACTGTGATGACAGTTGTGTTCACCAATAGGAGTACTGGGACAATGAGTGATCTGTGCCTCTCCACCAGTACACTGTACATCATCCATCAATATTGGAAGAGTACCACGTCCATAGCGAGCACAAGGATAGACAGAGCTAGCTCTCCTGTATCTTAGTTGACGACAGACAACATGTGCATCATTTATATCAAATAATCAAATAGTCATTACCAGAAAAACTTAGGTCATTCATTAAAATTGGACCAGTTCCCTGCCGAATCTGAACTCTATGGTATGTTACAGCAATATCAAGGAAACCCATGTTCTTGCAAATAGCACGACCATCATTTCTAATTGAGGCAGCATTTAAAAAAAAAACATCAATACGTAACAAAAGGTGTGGGAGTGATTTTGCAGCCATTTTTGAAAAAAACCATAGCCTTTGCTTTTTAGATTGGCTCCAAAATCACCACTAATTTTTATTACATTTTCTGATACGTGTTAATGCCTTTTTCCTCTGTAGAAAGTTTGGGCTGACTTTGACGAAATGATTTTTCAGTTATATGCATTTTAAACCAATTTAACATAAAGATTCAATGTATAGTAGAAATGAATCACAAGTGTAGGATTTTCATTTTGTAATTTCGTTGGACATTTGGAATCCTACCTGTAACATTTATAATTATTTCTTAAGTTGCATGCCATTGTGATACTTGTTGATTTTACACAAACAATAATTAATTTTTCTTAATTATTATTATCATTGTTATGATTAAATTTTTACAGCACATGCATGAATTATGAGAGACAGGATTGAATATGCTGAAGGAATATCTATCATACTGATGAAAAGAGAAATTAATACTAGCAAGTCCTTGTTCAAGAAGCAGATAGAGTATCCATTTTCCTGGCAATCTTAGTTGGTCTCCTCCAATTAAAATTTGATTTTCAAAAACTTTTTAAAGTTGCTCTTAAATTTGTTAAGATGTGCATGTGCATGCTATGTAGTAAGTTTCAATGGCCATAATTCAAATATTTGAGTTGTCAAACTTTTACACAGCATAAGGCATTTTAAATAATTTTCAGAAATTCAATCATTTTTTAAATGGTCGTATGTTAAAAATTTGAGCTCTGGAATTAGCTCACCTTTCTACAAAGCATAAATACAACATTATTGACATTATGTATTTTTTAAATGTATTAGAATTTGGGGAAAATTTGTAGCCATTTCTTTAAAAAAGAAAGGGCAGTGAATTTTTTAGAAATTGTCTTTTTTAAATGGCCTTAACTTCAAAATTTTAGGTCAGAATTGGCTGAAACATAGCATCAATAATATCAAGAGTACGTAATATTTAATAGTACAGATCTTGAATGCACAGATGTAATCAATTCAAGTCCACTGTGGCAGGAGAACTAAAATAAAATTGTTGATTTATTCAATAACTTTGATTTTATAAAAAAATTATGTAATAAATTAATTAAAACGTCAAATAGAAAACTTTGAAACTATGTTTCATAATAAAAGTATATCAAAAACCAACAACAACAACAACAATATTATTAATAATAATAACAAATTAAGTGTAAGTACAAAATAAAGGTACATGTGTACATGCTATAATAAAACAATTTATTAATTAAGGAAGAAAGGGAAGACTAACAAAAGAAAGCAAAGAGTAGCTCCAGTGATACGTGTTAATGGAGAATATATTAAAGAAGAAGGATTGGTGATATTGGTAACCATTGGGGTGTACGTGTGGGTGGGTATATGGTGTAATGGTGATAACTGGTAAGGTGGTTACGGTTATGATGGCAATATGGTGGTACAATGGTAATTGATATTTGCATGTCTTTGGTGTACATGGTAATGATAAGATGACAATAGTGGTTAAATGACAAACTTAGTATAAAAGTGTTAAGATTAATGGTGATCCAAGTTAAGATATTACAGAAGTATTGTATAGGTGATATTGGTAGCCATTGGTGTATGGTGTAATAGTACAATGGTGATACAATGGTATGTAAGATGGTGGATGGTGATAAGGTGGTGATAGGTGTAATGGTAAGATGGTGTTTAAGATAGGATACAGATATAGTATAGGATTGGCTTGGGTAACTATTGTGGATGTATGGTGTAATGGTTATGATGATATCCGAAAGTGGTGTAAGGTAGTTAGATGGTGGCAAGGTGGTAGGATAGGTATGATGGTGTAATGATGATAGGTTACATGTGATAGTGCAGTAAGATGGTGTATTGGTAATATGGTGATGAGGTTGTGTTTAAGATTCAATATCTTAATTGTCCTGGTAGGTCAACCTGCTGTCTCTCAAGTTAATTATGACAATCACTTTGTTTTTCTATGAAATATATTGAATATCTTCAAGATCTTAGTAGTTAAATATCTTCTTTGAAGATACTTAACTACCAATGAACCAGGATTAACCGATTGAGCTACTTCAATATCATGTGGACGAGGTTTTAAACTGAATACATTAATTAAAAACCGAATAAGCTCGAAATTAGAACTCATACTAGCAAAATAAAGCATGGTTTTACGTTCATCAGTTTCAGCTAGTGCATTACATTTGAGATCAGTTAGAAAGTAATGTACCAACTCCATACTACCAGCTTCACATGCTCCATGAACTGAAGTGTATCCATTATTATCAGGATCATCAGGACTACAGGGGAAGGTCTCTATGAGATAACGTACCATACGAATATTATCAGAACAAGAAGCATAATGAAGAGGAGTACGACCAGACTTGTCTTTAGGTACTGGATTAGAGACAATGTTTGGTTCCAAATACTGGTATACATAAACTCTCTTTCTCTCTGCTAGTAAGTGTAAGCAGGTGATGCCATCTTCATCTTCTGCTAAAGGATCCAGTCCATGCGTTTCAATTAGTGTTCTTACTATTCCAATATCTCCTCCCTCACATGCTGCATGAAGTAAACCATGTCCTCTATTATCCATTACATTAACACCTTGAGGATAAATACTGGATAAATAACGAAACACATCAATATGGCCATTACTGCAAGCTGTATGTAATACAGTGGATCCATCATTATCAGTAGCTGTAAGGAGATCATGATGAGTAGAACTACCAGTGACTGAGGACAGTAGAGCTTCAGAGGTATTCTTATGACCAGAGGCAACTGCTAAGTGTAATGGTGTCTGTCCTTTCTTGTTAGGAATTAATAAATTATTCTTAGAGAGACTGGCTTTTAGTAATAGTAATACCATATTCTGTTGTCCATGTTGACAGGCAACATGTAATGGTGTATTACCAACTTTATCTTGTGCATTAATAAGTACAGCATTATGTGGATTATTGTATATGTCATTAGGACTGTCTAATAAACAATTTATATCACGTAACATGACAACACTCATTGAGGGTATACTCTTATTCAGTAAATATTCTAATATTTCATATTTATTAGATGCTACAGCAACTTGTAGTGGTGTACGGTCTTGATGATCAGTTGCATTAGGGTTACAATAATTATTATCAATGAGATACTTCAATACATTCAAGTGACCCCTCTCTACTGATATGTGAACTGCTCCAGCCCCTTTACCATCAGTAGCTAATAGACTACACTTCTTACTAATAAGATATTTAATAACTTCTAACTGATTGAAGTACACTGCAATGAGAAATGGAGTACAACTATCTTTACTGTCAGGTAGTTCAAGTGACGACGGTGTGTGTTCTATAATGTACTGGATCAAGTTCAATCTTCCATTACTACATGCTAAGTGAATAGGAACCATTCCTTCATCATTCACAGCACACAGATCGAACTGATGATTCTCTACCAGATGTTTGAGTATAGGAAGAGAGTCACTGTACTCACAGGTAATGTGAAGAACTGTTGATCCATTAGAAGTCTTAGCTGCTACATTACACTGAGGAAGACTAGTGAGATAAAGTACAACGAGAACATGGCCTCCTTCACATGCTGCATGAAGAACTGTACTACCAGTATCAGTAGTAGTGGCATTAACATCACACTCATACTTGTTGATCAGTTCCTGTAGACAATGTAGCTTACCTCCATAAGCAGCTAAATGAGCTAGTGTGTACTTGTAATTGTTAGTGTGATTAGTAATATCCACACTATACTCCTGACGGTACCATTCCAGTATATGACTATGACCAGTCTGTGCTGCTGCATGTAATGCTGTTAAACCATATTTATCAGTAGCTAAAGGCTCAAGCTTATATTGTTGTATCAGTAACTGTACTAGATCAAGATTACCTGAGAAACAGGCAAATGTGACACATGCTTGATCACGTGTATCCTTAGCACTGACATCACATTTTAAATCATTGATTAGAAATGTGGCCAATTGAATATTACCACGCTCACAGGCTAAATGCAATGGTATTCTACCCTCATTGTCAGTAGAGTGTAATAAACTAATGTATTGCGGATACTGACTGGTGATATTCTTGATAAAGTTAGTGTGACCTTCTAATGATGAAATATGAATAACATTCCAACCTTTGCTATCTGTTAGGCTCAGACTACACTTGTAATCCTTCACGTATAATTCCAGTAGTAAAATATCACCAGATTCTGCAGCACAATGAATTGGTAGCCTACCATTACTGTCAGCTTGATGAGGATTTAACTGATAGGTAGTTATTAATTCTTTAACAAGAGATAAGTTAAGAGACCTTGAGGCAAAATGTAAAGCAGTAAGGCCATTCTTAGTAACTGCAGTAGG